GTGAGTAGGTTGGCTGTGAGTTCAGGGGATGTAGGGATAAAGTGAGTAGGTTGGCTGTGAGTTCAGGGGATGTAGGGATAAAGTGAGTAGGTTGGCTGTGAGTTCAGGGGACGTAGGGATAAAGTGAGTAGGTTGGCTGTGAGTTCAGGGGATGTAGGGATAAGGTGAGTAGACGTGGGTTTGTTGTAAGTGACAGGGGATGTAGGGATAAGGTGAGTAGGTTGGCTGTGAGTTCAGGGGACGTAGGGATAAAGTGAGTAGGTTGGCTGTGAGTTCAGGGGATGTAGGGATAACGTGAGTAGGTTGGCTGTGAGTTCAGGGGATGTAGGGATAAGGTGAGTAGACGTGGGTTGGCTGTGAGTGACAGGGGATGTAGGGATAAGGTGAGTAGGTTGGCTGTGAGTTCAGGGGATGTAGGGATAAGGTAAGTAGACGTGGGTTGGCTGTGAGTGACAGGGGATGTAGGGATAAGGTGAGTAAGTTGGCTGTGAGTTCAGGGGATGTAGAGATAAGGTGAGTAGGTTGGCTGTGAGTTCAGGGGATGTAGGGATAAGGTGAGTAGGTTGGCTGTGAGTTCAGGGGATGTAGGGATAAGGTGAGTAGGATGGCTGTGAGTTCAGGGGACGTAGGGATAAAGTGAGTAGGTTGGCTGTGAGTTCAGGGGATGTAGGGATAAGGTGAGTAGGTTGGCTGTGAGTTCAGGGGATGTAGGGATAAAGTGAGTAGGTTGGCTGTGAGTTCAGGGGATGTAGGGATAAAGTGAGTAGGTTGGCTGTGAGTTCAGGGGACGTAGGGATAAGGTGAGTAGGTTGGCTGTGAGTTCAGGGGATGTAGGGATAAGGTGAGTAGGTTGGCTGTGAGTTCAGGGGATGTAGGGATAAGGTGAGTAGGTTGGCTGTGAGTTCAGGGGATGTAGAGATAAGGTGAGTAGGTTGGCTGTGAGATCAGGGGATGTAGGGATAAGGTGAGTAGGTTAGCTGTGAGTTCAGGAGATGTAGGGATACGGTGAGTAGGTTGGCTGTGAGTTCAGGGTAGTAGGGATAAGGTGAGTAGGTTGGCTGTGAGTTCAGGGGATGTAGGGATAAGGTGAGTAGGTTGGCTGTGAGTTCAGGGGATGTAGGGATAAAGTGAGTAGGTTGGCTGTGAGTTCAAGGGATGTAGGGATAAGGTGAGTAGGTTGGCTGTGAGTTCAGGGGATGTAGGGATAAGGTGAGTAGGTTGGCTGTGAGTTCAGGGGATGTAGGGATAAGGTGAGTAGACGTGGGTTGGCTGTGAGTTCAGGGGATGTAGGGATAAGGTGAGTAGGTTGGCTGTGAGTTCAGGGGATGTAGGGATAAGGTGAGTAGGTTGGCTGTGAGTTCAGGGGATGTAGGGATAAGGTGAGTAGACGTGGGTTGGCTGTGAGTGACAGGGGATGTAGGGATAAGGTGAGTAGGTTGGCTGTGAGTTCAGGGGATGTAGGGATAAGGTGAGTAGGTTGGCTGTGAGTTCAGGGGATGTAGGGATAAGGTGAGTAGACGTGGGTTCGCTGTGAGTGACAGGGGATGTAGGGATAAGGTGAGTAGGTTGGCTGTGAGTTCAGGGGATGTAGGGATAAAGTGAGTAGGTTGGCTGTGAGTTCAGGGGATGTAGGGATAAAGTGAGTAGGTTGGCTGTGAGTTCAGGGGATGTAAGGATAAGGTGAGTAGGTTGGCTGTGAGTTCAGGGGATGTAGGGATAAGGTGAGTAGGTTGGCTGTGAGTTCAGGGGATGTAGGGATAAGGTGGGTAGGTTGGCTGTGAGTTCAGGGGATGTAGGGATAAGGTGAGTAGGTTTGCTGTGAGTTCAGGGGATGTAGGGATAAAGTGAGTAGGTTGGCTGTGAGTTCAGGGGATGTAGGGATAAAGTGAGTAGGTTGGCTGTGAGTTCAGGGGATGTAGGGATAAAGTGAGTAGGTTGGCTGTGAGTTCAGGGGATGTAGGGATAAAGTGAGTAGGTTGGCTGTGAGTTCAGGGGATGTAGGGATAAGGTGAGTAGACGAGGGTTGGCTGTGAGTTCAGGGGATGTAGGGATAAGGTGAGTAGGTTGGCTGTGAGTTCAGGGGATGTAGGGATAAAGTGAGTAGGTTGGCTGTGAGTTCAGGGGATGCAGGGATAAGGTGAGTAGACGTGGGTTGGGAGTGACAGGGGATGTAGGGATAAGGTGAGTAGACGGGGGTTGGCTGTGAGTTCAGGGGATGTAGGGATAAGGTGAGTAGGTTGGCTGTGAGTTCAGGGGAGGTAGGGATAAAGTGAGTAGGTTGGCTGTGAGTTCAGGGGATGTAGGGATAAGGTGAGTAGGTTGGCTGTGAGTTCAGGGGATGTAGGGATAAAGTGAGTAGGTTGGCTGTGAGTTCATGGGATGTAGGGATAAGGTTATTAGACGTGGGTTGGCTGTGAGTTCAGGGGATGTAGGGATAAGGTGAGTAGGTTGGCTGTGAGTTCAGGGGATGTAGGGATAAAGTTAGTAGGTTGGCTGTGAGTTCAGGGGATGTAGGGATAAGGTGAGTAGGTTTGCTGTGAGTTCAGGGGATGTAGGGATAAAGTGAGTAGGTTGACTGTGAGTTCAGGGGATGTAGGGATAAAGTGAGTAGGTTGGCTGTGAGTTCAGGGGATGTAGGGATAAGGTGAGTAGACGTGGGTTGGGAGTGACGGGGATGTAGGGATAAGGTGAGTAGACGGGGGTTGGCTGTGATGTACACGTGAGAAGGCTGTCAGCACCGTTTAGTTGGTGCTCGCGTGTTTGTTGTGTAGCCTTGGAATGAAGTTGCTGATCATACCTAGTTTGTAATCTTTGATCTGCTGCCTCAAAGGGAAGTCACTGTTAGAAACATGTTATTTCGTTCCCACTCTCAAACTGGGATGTTTGGTAGTTTTTCTCATAAACTTGAGCAGGTTTTAAGCTGAACAATTGACTTGCGAAGAAGATAATTTTCTTTGTATAATTAAGTGAATAACTTTGAAATTTTAAAACAAACTGAAAACTATTAATAGCTAGGTTAAGATAGGTTTGTCTGTCGTCCCTAATGGGACATAGGCCGCTAAAATAGCTAAAATAATAGCTAAAACAGTCTTTAAAAAAAACACAATGGAATGCAAAATTTGTGATCATGAAAATTGTAGCCACAAATTCAGCATTTGACTAATGACTAAAGCTAACACGTTGTTACCCCCCACTCCCCTCACCCCAAACCAACCCCCGACCCGTCCCACTGTTTCAGCCCGAGGGTCCAGATAGCAGCCTCGAGGACAGGTGGAAGCACCCTGTGGTACACATGAGCTGGTACGACGCCAAGAAATATTGCGAGTTCCACGGGAAGAGGCTGCCTACAGAGGCGGAGTGGGAGTATGCTGCCAGGGGCGGATCTATCAGTAAGTCTTGGTGGGGGGGGGGGGACTATCAGTAAGTCTGGGGTGGGGGATGCTAGTTTATCTAGGGTGGGGGTGCTAGTTTAGTGGGGCTGTTCTAGTTTAAACATTAGATTAATGTAAATGAGGGGCCACGGGCGGATCTATCAGTGAGTCTAGGGTGGAGGCGATGCTAGTTTATCTAGGTTGGAGGCGGTGCTAGTTTAAACCTTAGACTAGTGTAGATGTAAGGCTAGGGGCGGATCTATCAGTGAGTCTTGGCTAGTGGAGATGCAGTCTAAATACAAACATTATGGCAGAAATGTGGGGCAAGGGCGGATGGACTGTTGGGACTCCTTGTGAACACAACAAAATTAACTTTAATTTTATTGTAATAAATGGCTGTTAGTTGCTAAATTGCCTATTAAAATCGTTATGATTCGTGATTTTTTTTTTAAGAAATGAAGTGATTTTAATTTTATAACACAGCAATTTTGTAACCAATGCTATCAAATTCCTTCGCTTAGATCACGCCTACCCATGGGGCGATAACTGGGAAAGAAGACGTGCTAATGTATGGCAGGTAGGATTACGTCCCTTGTAATTTAACATACGTTTTGAAATTAATTCGTTATTTTTTAAACTTGATGCTTGTGTCACGAATTAAATTTTACAATAATTAAGTGGGTTTTTTTAAAATGGCTGCGTTTAAAATTTGTTTATGTTGAAGTGTTGTGCGTTAATTTTAAATTAAAATCTGAATGTCGCTGTGGCTTTCAGGGCACTAGAAGTATGTTGCAAATGGACGTGTTTGGTTATATTTGATTGTGGATGCGTTTAATTATATAGCAATATTAATTAGTATATAGCTAGATTAATTAGTAAGATTAATGAGTCGTCTGATCACGTGATTTCTCAGGGTGAGTGGCCTTATGAGAACAGGAAGTCTGACGGTTACGCCATGACGTCACCAGTGGACGCCTACAGGCCTCAGAACTTAATCGGTTCGTATCCAAATGACGTGGTTGATGTGGTCGGGTTGTTAGCTCGTTAGACTGGCGGCTCGAAGGTCTGAGTTCGGTACACACTGACAGCACCGACGCCCCGTTATCTTCTCCATAACTGACGTCACATAAATATAACCCCCTCCTCCCCCTCCTCCCACACGTACTAGTACTTTCCATAAGTACGTAACGTCTTTTTATAGATTACAGTAGTATGTTCAATACTTGATGATTTTTATCAATATGTGAAGTAAACATGTTAACAATTCAGAATCCTTTTCTCCGGTTCAGTGGTGTTTGTACTTAGTGTAAACAACACACATAATTGTTGGTTGTTCATTAATAACAAACACTCAAATACAACAATCAAAAGGTGCCTGCACAGTGGTGTCGCTAGGTCGGGTGTCACTCGGTGTGGCACTACATGGTGTCACCCCCCACCCCCTTTTTATTCTCTGTAAATTTTGCCGTTGGTGTCAACCCCCCCCCCGGTAAAAGCTTTAAAGTGTTCACATTTAATGATGTTATCATGTTAATACAGCTGGATGTAGCATTGTTTTCTCTATAGTTTGCATGTTTTGGTTGTAGTGTCACCCCCATCCCTCCATGGTCCTGATCGTCATTATGTACTTTAAATCCTTTTTAACTCTAATTAACCAATCGTTGAACTGGCAAAAAAAAAAACCACATAGTTATTCTATATATCTTGAAATGTATTTTGTCTTGCTGTCACCCCCTAAATGGTGTCAACCAGTGCGGTCTGCTCGCGACGCCTCTGAGTCTATATATTTTGACTGATATGTGTTGTACGCCCGTGTGTTTACCCTTGCTACTGCCTTCTGCTGTATTGTGTGTGCACGTGACATAACGCTTGCTTCTGTCGTCTGCTCCAGGTTTCTACGACCTGATCGGCAACGTGTGGGAGTGGACAACTTCCGCCTACACAGAGCGGAGGGTCCAGCCCCACCTCCAGTCCCCCATGGTCGTGCTCAAGGGCGGATCCTTCGTCGACTCGGTCAACGGGAAGATAAACGCCGCTGTTCGCAATGGACAGAGGTAAGTCTGACAGGGGAGGCAGGGTATGGGGGCTTTAATAAAGACGTTTGACAGAGGATGATATTGTAAGCGTACTTGATATTGGTACCTTGACAAGTGGCTTCTAACAAAAGGATCCTAATATAGACTTTTTCACGATAAATGGGTACATTTGATGGGTACATACTCGCGATAACAGGGACCCCTTGAAGAAAAGGTCCATGGGGCAGGTGATGTAGAGTTCACCTGTTTGATTCACCTCGGCATAAAAACGGATAAAGTGGTCATCACTGTGCTCAGCCGCCTTTACCTTCCCTAACGAGTCAAGGACGTAGTACGGACTCGTCGGGATCCAAACTCGAGACCTTCCGGTTAGCAGTCAAACGCTCTACCATTCGACCACACCCTTCCAACATTGCAATTGTAGGTTCGAACACAGACACGTTTACTGTCATCTAAAAATGTCTCCACCTTTCCCCAGTGGTATCCCGTTTAGGTGGAGTCGGGCCTCTTTTAACTGAAGTTTTTGTGTACCTGGCATTTAAAAGACAGGACTTTGAAGCCTTCAAATAGTATACAACATGAATATTATTTTGTTTTCAATATCGTACTTCTACGTTAAATAAGTCCAATGTAACCATTGGGGGTCGAGGGGGGGGGGGGGGGGAGGGTGTCGGTCACTTGATATTTATAGATGCCTGTAGGTATCTATGAATGTAACTACGTGCCGTCTAATGAATCCAATATGGCTACATGTCTAATAAATCAAATATGGCTACCTGTCTAATAAATCCAATATGGCTACTTGTCTAATAAATCCAATATGGCTACCTGTCTAATGAATCCAACTTCGCTACCTGTCTAATAAATCCAATATGGCTACTTGTCTAATAAATCCAATATGGCTACCTGTCTAATGAATCCATTATGGCTACCTGTCTAATGAATCCAATCTGGCTACCTGTCTAATGAATCCAATCTGGCTACCTGTCTAATGAATCCAATATGGCTACCTGTCTAATGAATCCATTATGGCTACCTGTCTAATGAATCCAATATGGCTACCTGTCTAATGAATCCAATCTGGCTACCTGTCTAATGAATCCAATATGGCTACCTGTCTAATGAATCCAATATGGCTACCTGTCTAATAAATCCAATATAGCTACCTGTCTAATGAATCCATTATGGCTACCTGTCTAATGAATCCAATCTGGCTACCTGTCTAATGAATCCAATCTGGCTACCTGTCTAATGAATCCAATCTGGCTACCTGTCTAATGAATCCAATATGGCTACCTGTCTAATGAATCCAATATGGCTACCTGTCTAATGAATCCAATCTGGCTACCTGTCTAATGAATCCAATATGGCTACCTGTCTAATGAATCCAATATGGCTACCTGTCTAATAAATCCAATATGGCTACCTGTCTAATAAATCCAATATGGCTACCTGTCTAATAAATCCAATATGGCTACCTGTCTAATAAATCCATTATGGCTACCTGTTGATGTCTCCCCAGGATGGGACAGCCCCAGGACTACTCCGCCGCCAACGTAGGTTTCCGTTGCGCAAAAAGCGCACCAGAAGCAGATCGAGTCACGACCACAGTCTCCCCGTCCGAGAGAAAGCGGGTTTTCCACAGGAAGAAGAAAGACGAGCTGTAAGTCACGTGATGTGTACCTGGCCAGATTTTCCTAAAACGAGAGGTCGAATGAGCCATCATTTTGAGAATTATTTTTTTATCATTGTCATAATATGAATGTATTTGATTGATTTTTGTATGAAAGAATGGAAGGGAATTTTAAAAAGTTAGTAGTTACGTGTTTTTTTTTTGTCCACAACATGAGTGGATTAGAAAAAACATTTAATGTACTAATCAAATTATCAACAAAATGATTGGTTAATTAAAGAACTGATTAAATGCTTAATGAATAAATTTGTAGATTAAATTATCAGAAATGTAGATGTGGGTACTATATGTGGGGACATTTCAGTTTAAAATGTGGTGAAAATAAAGGGCTGTAACTGTCATGCTAGAGTTGAACGAGAGAAGTTGAGTTGTAGCGTAGAGAAATATAATTAAAAAAATACAAAACACAAGTTTTTTTTTTGGTTATGTTTTTATAGATTGTGTTGTGTGTTTTCTGATTAGTCATTGAAAAATAAAATGGAACTGTATATTTGTTTGTGCAGTGTAGTGAATTTGATCAGGCCACACGAGATTAGTTATTAAAAGCACATTCCTCCACCTTACACACACATATAACACACACACACACATACACACACACTCACACGCACGCACACACACATACACACACTCCCACACACACAAACACTTGCTCACACACACACATTCACACACACATACACACACACAGCGGAGCCCCCACTCACCCTCCACCTGCACCTCGGATGACATCAAACCGCTGTTTACCTCCATCGTAAACCCTACCAGTGTCGGAGGCAAGACCAGTTTCTGCTAATTAGACAGGCCTTTATACACTGTGCTTTAGACAACATAAAAAGTAATTAATAAACGAGACAAAATAGATCCTGAATACTCTATAAAAATATTGTCGAATTCAATCTCTATTCTGCCACAGCCCCAACTCCACCCGCCCCACTAGTGTCTTGGTCCACCTAACAGCAGTGAGTTGAAACACACAAGGGAAATAACTCAGGATTACGATCTTTATTAAAGTTGCGTCCCTTGCTATTTCATTCATGCCCTGGGTGTGTAGACACTATCTAAAGACCAAACACTCTCCAACCCCGCAGTGACAAAGCAGGTCCTATTGAATGTCACCCTGTTCACTGATATGTTCTGATGTGTCTGTACAATTGGCTTCTAACTATAACCTATAAGAGTGAATCGATATAAGGGAAATGAAAGGGCAAAACAAAAATAGGCCCTACGCCTGTAAGTGCTTGTTTGTAAGATAATCAGGGCATAATGTGCGACTTAAGAGCATACACAAAAAATAGTAGAGTGTGAGGCATGGCTTAACATCTTTTGTAAATATTATAAATACGATCATACTCACAAATAATTATGTTGCATGAGTTGTTTTTATTTACGATGGTCGATCTACTACATTAAAAATGAAATAGCTGTCTTTTCTTCAGAATTTTTTTTTTATGTAAAATTATCAAAGTTGTGATGTAATTTATTTATTCGTCTGTTTTATTTATTTTAAAAAACATATAGATCTAGGCCTACGCAAACAAATAGACTGCGGCTCGTACAAACCAAGACGATTTACTGTGACTTATCTGTAACATTCAAAGGGAAGCAACAGTGTTAATTCTCTAATGATAAATATTTAAATGGTTGTTTCCCCTTGACCATTAAATTATAAGTTTTTGTTTTAGGCGTGAATTTTTTTTTTCTTTGATAATTGATGGTTTTTTTTTTAGCGCAATTTCCTTACAGGAATTGCGATTATTAATTCGTTATTTCTGGATGGACGTGTGTCCGCAGCTTTAAGTCGTATCTCCTCCTCAACGAAGCAATATCGAGGACTAGTTCCAAAGCAAATATGTTAAGCAAGTTCCGAGGATGATTGTGGGCCAAAAAAATTCCCGGAATTCCTTCCTGGATTTCCCGGAAAAGCCAAAAAACCTCGAAAAAGTGCAGTTTTTGGCCCATATCTCGGCAACCAGACCACTTAGCGACTTGAAACATTTACCAATCGATTCCTGCCATAATTTAGAACAATATCGCCGAAGAAAGTTTTTAAAGCTATCCTTTCGTTCGGTCACAAAAAATTAATTAAGGAAATTGCGCTTAAATTGTCACTAGAATTTTTATTAACTTGTTTTTAATGATATTCTCTTTCTTACGTAGAGTCGAAACAAATGTGTTAGCCTAGGTCATTTAACTGTTCTCAATCGTCACTGGTGTGGGCCATGTTAGCTGAGAGTGTCTAGATCATTGTTAATGACATAGACTTAAAAAAAAAACTTGCGTTAAGTCCGTTTCGTCTCTAGAGTAATGAAACAATTTAAAAACTAAAACTTAAACAAATAGGAAATAAACTAATTTAAAATGTATCTTATAAAATATACAAATGCAAAGAACTAGCGAATATTATTTGACTTGAGGCTAGATTTGTAACTATTTGCGACATATAAAGCTAACGTTTCTTGATACAAACATCAATTGGCCTTTACTATTATTATTGGGCTATAACTTTCAATCATGTTACAATGCATTTCGATTTTCAGTAGTGCAATACAGCCCTTAAAATAAAATAAAAAATAATTTTAAAATCGCGCAGTTTCGGTAATTCCCCTTAACCAACCGAACGTCAAACTAACACTACGTACTTACGGTACGCAGCGACAAGAAATAATACAATAATTTTTATTATAATTTTTTGTTATATTAAGTTAAATATGAATAATATCTAAGACATCTAACGTGTAGAATATAATACTTAAAAACACTTTAAAATTTTTATAACAAAATTAGTTTTAATAACGACGCACAAGATCATTAAAGTTCTAAGCGTCAACGCCGGCCGTTTTGGAGCGTAGTTGTCTAGTATCTCCTCAACACTTTGACAGTATACCTGCAGACATATATTACATGGTCGAATAAAAGGGAGCTCAAAGGTGGGTGCTCAGATCATAACGGGATCAGTAGGCGCTCATGGAATGTATATCAGAGTGAGCAAGTTAAGCTAGGGGGTAGATAAAAGTACCTGAAGGCTACGGATTAGTCAATGGTATATATAAAAGCTAGCGGCTAGTTCATACTTTTTGCAAGGCTATTGGCTAGTAATATTTTAAAACACCCGAACTCATGCACACACTCGCTTACACATACGCACACACGCACACACGCACACACGTTTACACACACACACACACACACGCTTACACACAGACGCTTACACACACGTTTAAAAGCACACACACATGACGACGACTCACAAACGGTGAACATACAAATCTAGCGCAGAATGATTGTATTGGTCACGTGTTGTGTTGTGATGTGTTTCGATGTGTCGGGAGTCGGGAGTCGTGTCGTGTCGAGACGTGATGTGACGTAGTGTGACGTATTGCTACGTGTTGTATGTGAAGGTACACCCCCCCCCCACAAACATCAACAGCTGAATATAGCTCCTTAGTACCACAACCGTTTCAACTGCGGTATGTTTAAACACTAAGATTAGGCTTGTATTTTAGATTAAACTACAATTAGATTCACGGCTACTAAGGTGGGGCTTAAGGACAAGAACCCTTAATTACTCATATTTCAGTGTGTACAAAGCTGACTGGAAGACTAAAATTAGATACGAACCCTCACCCCCACCCCCTACGCCACCCCCTCTCCGCCATTTGTTTCTGCACGCCCCACCCGCCCCTACTGTGTCGTGCATTATTTGGTTCCAGCGCCAATTTCCGGTGCCGGTTGATGTTAGTTCTCTCCCCTTCAACACTGCCACTCCCCTTCAAACAAGTGTCACGTGACCGCCATCTTCAAACAATACATCACACATCACACATCACACATCAAAACAAAAGATTGGATTTACACTCCAAGTTTTTTTTTGTTTTTTTTAAAAGAAGAAAAAAAAATACCGTTAAAAATGTGTATTGAGCCAAACTTCATTTTGTTCTAATTCGTACCGGATATGATGTCATATCAAAACAAAGCAATTAGCCAGGCTTTTCTGCTCTGATAAGCCAAACGGCGATGGAAGAAAAAGAACAAAAAAAAATATTGTAGAGCTCAATTAACGGATCAAGCTCACAAAACGTGCTGTAAAAATCTGCCTCACAAACGTGAGGAATTAATCGCAGGGGGCGTAAATTGTCGTGGCTAAATTGTCGCGATTGGGTTGTCGCGATTAAGTTGTCGTGATTAAACATGGGACATCTGTGTGGATGCTGATCTTGTCAGGTTGGGTACCGCTGTTGAACATGTGAGGGTGGGGGTGGGTAGGGGGAGGGTTGGGGGGGGGGGGCAGATATTGGGGAAAAAGCATGTTAGTGGATGGAGGGGATGGAGAAGAAGTTAAATATTCTGCTAAATAAAGTAGAGTTAGGAAAGGTTGAGTTTGTGAGAGGAAAGGTTGAGTTTGTGAGAGGAAAGGTTGAGTTTGTGAGAGGAAAGGTTGAGTTTGTGAGAGGAAAGGTTGAGTTTGTGAGAGGAAAGGTTGAGTTTGTGAGAGGAAAGGTTGAGTTTGTGAGAGAGTTAGGAAAGGTTGAGTTTGTGAGAGGAAAGGTTGAGTTTGTGAGAGGAAAGGTTGAGTTTGTGAGAGGAAAGGTTGAGTTTATGAAAGAATTAGGAAATGTTGAGTTTGTGAGAGAGTTAGGAAAGGTTGAGTTTGTGAGAGGAAAGGTTGAGTTTGTGAGAGGAAAGGTTGAGTTTGTGAGAGGAAAGGTTGAGTTTGTGAGAGAGTTAGGAAAGGTTGAGTTTGTGAGAGAGTTAGGAAAGGTTGAGTTTGTGAGAGGAAAGGTTGAGTTTGTGAGAGGAAAGGTTGAGTTTGTGAGAGGAAAGGTTGAGTTTGTGAGAGAGTTAGGAAAGGTTGAGTTTGTGAGAGAGTTAGGAAAGGTTGAGTTTGTGAGAGGAAAGGTTGAGTTTGTGAGAGGAAAGGTTGAGTTTGTGAGAGGAAAGGTTGAGTTTGTGAAAGGAAAGGTTGAGTTTGTGAGAGAGTTAGGAAAGGTTGAGTTTGTGAGAGGAAAGGTTGAGTTTGTGAGAGGAAAAGTTAAGTTTGTGAGAGGAAAGGTTGAGTTTGTGAGACAGTTAGGAAAGGTTGAGTTTGTGAGAGGAAAGGTTGAGTTTGTGAGAGGAAAAGTTAAGTTTGTGAAAGAGGAAAGGTTGAGTTTGTGAGACAGTTAGGAAAGGTTGAGTTTGTGAGAGAAAAAGTTGAATTTGTGAGAGGAAAGGTTGAGCTTGTGAAAGAGAAAAGGTTGAGCTTGTGAGGTTCGACCAGGGTGGGGAATGGGGCCACACATTGTTCAATATAGAAGGCAGGGGGCGGGCGAATATATTGTTTCTTATACAAGATAGTTGAGGAAGGTATGGGCTAATGCTTCTTCGATTTGTTTACGAGTGGAGGGGGGGGGGGGGGGG